ACATCTGGCCTCCTACGCACCACGCGTCAGCTCTTCGATAACCAACCTCCGCAATCCAGAGGAGATCCGCAGCGCAGTTGCCAAAGCCGCGGAATTCTTCGGCGGTCGCATAGATGTCCTTGTCAACAATGCAGGTGTAGCGCGAGGCTTCTTCAACGCAGGAAATGGGACCATGGAAGATGTCGCTACGGGGGAGCAATGGGAACAGTACATTGCTACTAATCTCAGCGCACCCTTCTATATGAGCCAAGCCGTCATTCCCTTCATGAAGAGCAAGAACACGCAGAAAGACGCTACGCCGGGTGTTGATCGGACGAAAGATTTGAAGCGTACGGACGAGTTCAATCAGTTGCCGCTGAATCTCCATGGCGATGACAAATTCGACGAAGGAGGCTGCATCATCAACGTCGCTTCTTTCCGCGCTCATCAGTCGGACCCGGATTGCGAAGGCTATGCTGCGAGCAAGGGCGGTGTACTGGCTCTTACACAGGCCATGTCTGTCTCGTGCCAACGCTGGGGAATCCGTGTTATGGCGATCTCGCCGGGCTGGGTCAGCGTGCAGCACGAGTGCAAAGCTTATGATCTGCAGATCAAAGAGACGCAAAACGGATCGTACAAAGAGACTGCACCTCATGAGGAGGAAGCGACGAAGCTGAGGATGAAGGCCTGGGCGGATGATTTGGACGAGCTTTACCACAAGCAACATCCAGCCGGCAGAGTGGGTAGAGGAGAAGATCTCGCTGAGATGGTCGAGTACGTCATGGGTGCGGGTTTCTTGAGTGGGCAGGAGTTGATTCTGGATGGTGGTGCGAACCGGAGAAAGAACCCCAATATCTGAGAAGTCTGTAGGATCAACAAATAGATGAGCGAAGCCAAGTCGTCGCTATGCACGTGCAACAAATGCTTATATCCTGTCTGGTACTCCACCAACGCCATGCTTGCGGTCGTGTCATAAAATCAACGCCAAAATAAGCAAGAAGCAACTGTAGGAGAGGAAACAAGAAAGCAGGGGTGTTCTGTTGTATCCCAACTGGAAACCTAATCACTTGAAGAGAACTTCAACCATACACTTGTCATCAAGATCGCACTCTTCCACAGTATCCATGGGCATTAGCCGCTCACCGTCGAACATAAGCGTAATTGGCTGACTTTTATCGATCTTTTGGCTGTTCTTGTAGGCACTTGCGATGTGGGCGACGGTGGTCTCCTAATGACTAGTTAGCATTTGGACAAGGCTGATGAGGTTTGGCGTCGCACTTTTGTGCATACCCCAAAGGGACAGTTGACACATACCTGTTTGACTGTCAACCTGAACTCGGGTTTACCCTTCGCCTTGAGGATCAACCTGACCCGGTTGGAAGCGGGTTCAGGCTCGGGCTCTGGTGTTGGAGTCTTTTCTTTTGCCACGGCAGGTGTTGCGGCGGCGATCTTTCTCGCCTCAGCTGCCGCAGCCTCATCCCTCTTCCACTGCCTGTAGATCTCCTCTGTCCACGCTTCGACATGAATCTTGGGGAGGTTGACGTCGTCGTAAATGTTAGAGTCTCCTTCGACGGATAGGTTGCCGTTTTCCACCTTTATTCCTAAGCGCTGTATCGATGTGCTATCGAAGAGGCGTGCGCCCTTCCATGTGAAGAAGACGTTGCGTGTTGTTTCAGGCGAGAACTTTTCTTTCTGACACCATGCCAGCCGTGGCTTCTCGATGGTGCTGTCTATCCTGACCTTGACCATCAACGGATTTGCGCCGGGTATTTGTGGGTCGATGAAGAGCTGCGTTATGGGTGCTTTCGGAGCGTCGCCGTTTGATGCTGCTGCGGCTTGCGCCTTGGCCGCTGCAACGCGCGCTCGTGCCCTGGCCTGCAATGCAGCTATTGTAGGATCCAGGCCTTCCTCATCTTCCTCGTCGTCGTCGTCGTCATCTTTGATCTCTATAGGAGGTGGCTTCGATGGTCGAACGGCTATGGGCTGTTTGTCGTTGGAGCTCGGTGGTTTGTAGTCCAACTCAGACTTGTCGTTGTGCGGCTTGGAAACATAGCCCGAGTCGTCGTCCAGGTCTGAATCGCCCAGGTCAATGACGGAAGATGTCTGTTGTGGCAATGAAACACTCGAGGAGGCGGATTTGGTGAGGGAGTCGTACCGGGCCGTGAGCGAGTCCGGCGGCGGATGCGATGGCGCGGGAGAGGGGGATACTTTGCTGCGCCTGAGCTATTGTTAGTACTAACATTGCGATGTAGGGCCTGATGCGTACACTTTACTGGCGGTCCTACTCGCCCGCTCTCTGCTGGCTGAGCTACTTTTGGTAGGCACGGGCTCTTCGGTGTCGTTTGATATGCGACGGCGCTTCTGGTCGCGCGGCTCAGAGTGTTTGCGCTTCCTGGCTGCCTCGGCCTGCTTCTTCTCTTCTGCGCGGATCCTCGCTTGCTCGGCGACTATGTCATTGAACTCGTTGGAGTGGCTGAACATGTCCTCGCCGTCTTTCTTGGGCGCATCCTGCCATGCCGCCCGCTTGAACAGGCTGCGTTTCTTGGGTGGTGCGACGCTCGCGGGTGTGTCGGTCATGGTTCGGGCGGTGCCATGGGCGGTCTGAGTGGGCGGAGGAGGTGTCGTGCTACCCCAGGGTAGTGTGTAGGAAAGGGCAACCTTGGAAGGCCGCTGTCGGGGCAGGCGCGGGTTGGTGCAGGTGGGGCCTCAACGCGCGCAGTCACGCTTCTCGCGATGAGGAAGAGACTGGGCCCGTGCACTCTGCCTTTCCACACGACCCAACATCGCCATCTCTCACGTCCGTATCATCGGCGACCGACTTCAGGAAATATCTACTTACGCCTACTTGAGCATCAACGTAAGATCCATCTAGATGCGTCGCAACAAGTTGCTGATTGTTTGCTAGAAAACTCGGCATCACCACCACCCTCATCACCATGTCCACCAACGGTGAAAGCCCAGCACCCGACGCCGCCGGTGACTCTAGAGATCCTAGCGGCTTCCTCAGTGAAATCATCGGAGCTCCCGTCACCGTCAAGCTGAACTCTGGTATCATCTACAAAGGTAGCCCTTGACGTGCCTATGATGCACATCAATTACTAATCCCCATATAGGCGACCTTCAGTCAGTAGATGGCTACATGAACATTGCACTGGAGCGATGCAAGGAGGTGTCTGAGGGACGCGTCACCCGGAATTGGGGAGATGCTTTCGTCCGTGGTAACAATGGTATCCAACACACCACTTTGCTTTTCACTTCACTGAGTACTAACGGACGTGCAGTCACATACATCTGCGCAGACAAGGCATGAGAAGCCGCGGCTTTCTAGTCTAGAAGCAGGGTGGACGCGGCGACAAGCCACACGTGATGATCGATGACCCGTATCTTACACATACTCAGCGCCAATATGAGCTTGGACGACTGTCATGAGGTATACACCTGACGCTTCCACGAATGATTCAATATTAAAGCTGATTGTCGGGTGGTGCAAGTGACAGTCACGCAAACTTCTGAACTGCTCTTAAGTATCTCGGCGCCGTCCTCTGTATCAACTCACCGTCACCTCCACCCCAATATGGTCAACGGTGAAGACTATATACGTATTCCTCTCATTCCCGCTCTCCTTCACCATGTCGTCACTGTCTCCTAAATTTGCAATCCCTGTCTTACGACTGGTTCACCTAGACTTTGCGCTGTCGCGACGCGCACTGCGCTGTTGGACCCTGCAAACATTGTGGACTTGTCTACGCGCAGCTACTGTTAGCATACACAACAACAAGCCGCGCCTCTACGTCTGATTTTGAATTGCACTTTACAGATCTCACGCATTGCCGCACTCGCATCGCTCGTGCTACGAGTGGCATGCACTAACCTTCTAATCTCATCCAATCCAGCTGCACGTTTTGCGATGACTGTGCCCAAAGTCAAGTCTCGCGCCCAGCTCCGTAGCCAGGCGAAGTCGCGTAGAACCAGCAAGAAGTACCACGTCGAGAAGCCGAAAGCAAAACAAACAAACAACGATGCGCAGAGCCTTACAAAAGCACCAAAAGGTAGACATCGTTGCTTCATTCGGTATATCAACCAAATGAATCCGCTGACCGGCTCAGTGCACACGTTTTCTGCTGAATCCAACGACCCGATCCATGACGACAATAGCAATCCTGTCGATGATAACGGATCGTCCTTCGCCAGGCGCCATGTACTAACAACTGACGATCAAGAGTCTGCCGGCGCCTTCAAAAGCGGTCTCCGAACCGTACTAATACGTGACAGAGCCCCTGTTACCACAGACAGCTCAGAAGCAGCCGATAGCGCTGCGGATGAGGATGACGACCCGCCCGCCTCTCTCCTGAACCTGGCGCCTCTTTGGTACCCTCAGCCAGACTGGTCTTGGCCGGAAGAAACTCTACCAGCGACAACGGATACTACATTAGGTGACTCTCCTGTCGCCGAACATGCTACAGCGGGCCCTTTCCAAGTGTCAGAGGAGACTACAGCAGATGGACCACCAGGAGTGGCAGTTGCTACACCAGACTCACCGTCGACAGGGCCGGATACGACGGTCGCAGTATCATCCGCATCAACAGTAGCTACAGCACATCCAGCATCAGCGGCAACAACCACTACGGCAGACCCATCTTCAGTGTCGACAGTTGCTCCAGCAATTCTGACTCCAGTTGTGGCCGTTACTGCAACAGATTGTACTCCAGTGGTAGCCGTCACTGCATCAACTTTGGCTCAGGTATCATCGGTAAGCTCAACAAAGCCCTCTCTTGGAGTATGGCACAAATGGGTCGTCGACCTTTTTGCCGGGCGCAAACCAGTCTCGCCTAAGAATGACGATGTCAGCAATACACCACCGCCCGTCTCGATCATATCCTGGACTAGAGAGGATCGCGACTCTGACACAGCGCTTCCATTGCCTTCCCAACCCCACCTTGAATTGAGATATCTCATCCCTGCGACCTTTGACAAGCGGATGAGACTGAACTATCATTCCAACATTCATCCCGCGCCCCACCATGACTCCGTCGGCAAGGTCGCGACACATGAAGACGCATCCCCCACGAACAACGTACAGCGCGGCTTCGTAGTAGCAAACCGGCCTGCTTCAGCCCCATCTCCACCACGCCGCGACACTGATCATTACAGCAGTCTGCTAGCTCGTGACGATACCAACTGGGCGGAGTGGAACAAGCTGAACATCACTGCAGACGCCATGCCCTTCACACGGTCGCAGTCGGACACCCAGTTGCTGCATCCCCAGACCGGAACGAAGATGACACGGGCAAACGGTCACCTGACCAAGAGCCAGACTGGTCATGCTTTCCTAGAAGATGCCGGCCACCGGTATCCGTTTGGCCAGGGACCGGGCTGGTAGTGATTGAGCAGTCAAGACATCTCTTGAACCGACTGAACACTTGAAAACGGCCACCCAGTGACGAAATCTGGGACTGGATCACTTCCCCAACGACTTGTATAACAAAAGTACGTACCACATCCTCCAGCGCAGCAACTAAAGCTAACGGCTGAAATCTAGACTGCTTCTTTTCTTCCCTTTTTCTGCTTTTGCGTCTGCAGCATTGGAGCGCGACTATTGTCCGCGCGAATGGCGTCTGCAGTATTGCCGTATCGGCATGGCTAGGTGCAGCTTTGCTCCACATCCAACGTGTGACGTGGTCCGAATTGGAATGCTCTTAGCTACCGGCGGCGCACACTAGGCGCGTCTTTAATCGGGCCGAGGACCGGCAGTGCTAGGAGGTGCTTTTCTTTTATCAGGGCTGCCCGGGGCGCTAGTAGGCGAGTTGTCGCTGAAAACGGTCGCGGTATTGGGATGGGTGGCGTTCAGCGGCTAGTTTGTATCTTTTTTGCTTTCTTTCTGGGAGATACCCTGCGTTCAATGTATACATATTAGAAGTTGGTGTGCCAGGATATGCAATGTGATGTTATGAGTGATGGGATTGCGAGCACCACCCTGGCTGGCGAGCAGCTGAATGTAGCAGTAGGCGTCATGATGATAAGGTGGCGTGTGTTCATGTGTAGCAGTCGTTGTATCATGTACTCGTCTAGGAAATTCGTGCAGTCCGAAGAAAAGAAAGGAAAATAACGCCATTCCCGCATCGTTCGTTGCGTCATTGCTCTGCATACCCAGCAGCGAGCATCAACGTTGAATCATCCAATATACCTCCTTCTCTAGTTCGCTTCCCTGATCGGAGTGAAGACGACCTTAGCACTAGGCTTGGGTAAGATGGTCGACCGCCAAGTGAAGAGGCGCTTCGCAGTCGGGTTGACAAGCTCACAGTCGTAGTTCAAGATGACTTGTCCGAGGATGACCTTCATGACAGCTGAGGCGTAGAACCTTCCGGGGCTGTAACGAATCGTTAGCAGTGTCTTCACAACAACCGAGATACAGCAAGAGACTTACCAGGCCATTCTGCCCGTTCCCCAGACGTGGAATGTCATATCAAAGTCAGTCAGTTTGGTTGGCTTCTTCTGCATAATGTCGAAAGCGCCATCAGCATTCTCCAGGCTCTTAACAAGCTGCGGGTCAGCAAAGCGGAAACCGCTGAATGTCGTTGCTTCGGGGTAATCGACGGGGTTCGTCATGATGGCGCGGACGGGTGTGCAGAACCAATCTCCAATGTTGACGTGAGTACCGTCTTTGAGAGAGAAAGGTTGGAGCGCTGAGCGACGGGTGCTTTGCGACTCAACGGGTGTCAAGCGCGCAGATTCCTTGATGAAGCTGTCGAGAAGCGGAAGTCCAACACCGCTTTGCTCAAACGCGGCGTATTGGGACTCGCACTCCCTTCGTAGGGGTTCTGCGTACTCAGGGTGGAGGCAGAGGTCGTGGATGGCGAAAGTTACGGTTGTGGAGACGGCGTGCACGGAGCCGAACCAGATGGCCATCAGCTCGTGGACGACACGCTGAGGTGTCCAGGGCGCGTTCTTGGGTGATGTCTCCATGATCCATTGGATGCAGTCGGCGTGTTGGGGCACTTTCTGGCCTAGCTTGGCTGCGTCTCGCTCGATGCATCGTTCTTCGGCAATGGGCAGAAGCCTGTTGAAGATGACAGCGTGTGACTTGAGTGTACGAGCGATGATGCCGCCGACGATGCTGTACGAATTAGTAAGGAGGGCCGATGTGACTCGGCAATAGCACTTACGGGGTCATGAACCCGGGTAGCAGGCGAACGATCTCAGCGCAGATCAGAGTCTCCTCGATGTATGCGAGGGCGGAGACCATGAACTGCTCATCCTTTGCTGCCTTCGGTCAGTCATGCACGTAGCAATGGGCGAAGTACATGGCACGAGACTTACCCAGATCTTTTCCAAAGAACGATACTGCATTCGACAAGACGACCAACTTCACAGTCATGTGGTACACATCCGACTGCTTCTTTCCTATTGATCATTGTCAGCGTAGTTACATAGGTCAATGCTTGGAGTTGTATTACCGTTGATCACTGGGTGTCCAGCATGCAGCTCCTGGAACCTGGTGCGGATAATGCAAGTAAGGTCAGGCAGGATCTTAGGCAAGTTGTTGGTCAAAAGTGTGCGAAGAGCGCGGATAAACCCAACACCCTCAGTACCACGTCGATCAAACCAGTTGAAGCCGTGCCTACGATTCGTTAGTAGACTGAATGCACAAAGACTGAATTCGAGAAGCGCGAGGGTCGTCCTACATAGTGTAGAGGGGCTGTAGCATCTACAATTTGTCAGTAATCGCCTAGAACAAAAGCTGCCGAAGAACTCACCTGCTTTGACGCCGCCTGAAGTGATAGCACAGTATCTGGCGCATTGTCTAGCTCCTTGATCTGCTGAGGATCGGAGACAAAGACATAGCGGTTATCCGGGGCGAAGAGCTCGAATGGCTTCCCTTTCGCCTCATCAAACGCTTTCTGGATGATTGCAGGGCCCCAGAAGAGATATGCCCATGCTTGGTACCGCTTGGTGATAGGCTTGAAGATGGTCTTCAAGAACCTTGATGGAGAAGAAGCCTGGTGAACAGGTCAGTGTGCACTCATAATGCATACGGAGAACGTGCGTCCGGTACGTACCAGCTTCTTCGCAACCAAAGCCTTGTAACAAAAGAAAATCGATATCAAACCGAAGATGCTGCTCGCAGCATTGACCGCCAATGGGCTGAGCGCTGGCAAATGTACGCTTTGCATCTCTAAGAAGTCCATGATGGCAGTAAAGTTTGGTTACGAAGTAAGACCTTAGATTGGGCTAATAGGCGCGGGGTGTCAAGCATTGGTACATATAGAAAGTTACCATATCGACGTTGCTCTAGCTACAGGTTCTGCTGCGCGGACGAGCCGGTTGGAACGACCCGTTACATTACGTCTAAGCTTCTATGCAAGTGGACTAAAGTCATTGTTGGCTAGCTAAACTGTGCCACTGCACTGCAGCACGATCGGATTAATGTCAGGCCATCTGCATGCTACACAAGCTGCGTCGCTTGATGGACGCTCTCACCTATCGTGTGTTGCGCGGTCGATGAAAAGGCGAGCAACCCACCCTTCTCTAGCGCTATCACAACGTCTGCTGTCCTAGAAAGTAAGTAGACCCGATGCAACTACCACGCAGAACACGAAGCGCCTCGTCCGTCATGCTGGAAGGACCAACGGTCCGATCCATAAGGGTGTAGTGTGAGAATCGGGGAAAACGGTGAACGTCTGGACGAGTCCGAGGCTGCGGCTCTAATTCGAGGCTTGTGCGCAAACGCACGAACGCGTGGGCGAATCACAGCTGGATGAGGAAATGTTCCGTGCGCTAGATGACGGAAGAGGCCCTTCAGGACCCCTGACTATCGATACGGCTAGGTCAAGCCGCGACCCTTGATGGACTGCCGCCGACCAAGATGGCGAATAGGTGAGTGCACGGCAAGCTATCGATGTCGAAAAGTGACAGTTGCAATGGCGCGCTTAGGCGGGTTTTGCCCCACATGGCACCACTACCAAGAGGTAGGACCGACCGCTCACGTCTGATTGGAGGACAAAAGCTCTGGTGGAGTCAAATCCGACGTCGGTCTTGTATCGCATCTGTACCTCGCTGCACCTAAGGAAGCGACTTCAAGGACAGAGCCTACTTACCGCTGTATTCCCAGACCAGCAAAAGGACCTACCTCGGCCGTCCTTGTGCAAGCCGCCAGGTGACCTAACACGCCTTCATATCTTCCAGGGTCTCTCGAAGCGGTACAAGGTTTAATCGTCATTGCGTGCATACAGAGATATCGATAGCGGGAGACAAAGGTAACATCGCGGGTAGCATTGCCTGCAGGCAATGAGGTCCAAGGCCCGCTTCTCCATGGGTTCCTTTCTTTTTGATCATGCACACCTCTTCCCACGTGTCTGGATACGGATGACGCGGACACACCCACTGGCCCGGCTTGGATCCTGGTAGCAATGCCTACGCACGTGCGGTTAAGGATTGAAGCAGGCCATCGGTTCCAATTACACATCCGGAGTACGTTTGCGTTTTAACTGGAGATATACGAAGAGGCTTGCATGTCCTAGTACCCCATCAGGACGAGCTGGCAAGAAAAATCCTTCGTCCGGATATATCGTAGCTAGAGCCAGCGCTGCCATGATACGTCTTGGCGTATACGATCGACTTCAAGTAGATTTACCGGATGTCGACCGGATGATAGCGAGTAGTCGAGGTATTTTTTCCATGTGCAAACGAGCTCAGACCGACTTTGTATCCGGGCACCGCTCGAGAAGCGACCGACTAGCGCGCACATAGCATCCGCATACGTGTACGCGGGGGGAAGATGGCGACTGGCAACCAATGTCTTTCTCCACCAGAATTCGAGATCCAGTCGAACATCTGTACAAATCGCGCCACATGACGCATCTCTTCTTGGTCGAGGTTGCTCGAGCGAGCAATCGCAGTCGTAGTGGTGTGCTGCGACTAAAGTCGCAATTCAGCTGTACTATTGCATGATCTTATAGCCAATGGTCCTGCTTCTGTTTCCACGCAATATCTTTTAGTTGAAGTCATAATTCGACGTTGATTCTCCGGTCACATGCAAAACCAAACCAAGCCACTGAAAGACGAGACATTTGTGATCTTGCTTTGAGAGTCCCCACGCCTATTCCTGATGTGGAAGTCTGCCGACCCGAGCCGTGTGTGGAGCCGCGCGGTTGACGCACTGTCGTACAACCTTCCTCAAAAGATGGCAGCTACTGCAATGTGAGTAGTACGCGGTGGGTGCATTGCATGCTGCAATACCGGAGCAACTCCCTAGGTACTACCCTGAAAATCATGCCGTTCGATGACCCGCTCAGTCGCGCTAGCAACAAGTGTCGCGGGAGGCCTATCGATTGCAAATTCGAGCTTGCTGCTTTGCGATCATTGGCTCGGCCGTCTCGGTGA